CTTATTAGATTAAAAGAGCTCTTACAGGGAAGATGTTTTAGCTGAAAGAATGCAGAATCGTCAGCGGGCTGCACTACAAAAAGGAACTGCGAGGACAGCTTTGTAATGCAGTAGTACTTCACGCTTTCTTTTTCTATTTTTTTTTTCTTGGTTAGCTGCTGATGTGAGGGCTTTGATCGAACGTCAGATGTAAGAGGATCTGAGAAACAAAGGCTGTGGTTGTTTGCAGTAAAACTACTGAAAGTCCTAAATTACAAAACATTAATTCTTTGCTTCATTAGTATGGAACATTTTAATACATGTTCAGGCACAGCACTGTAAATTGTGATAGGCATAGTGTGACCTTCAGAGCCAGTGAAAGTAATGTAGCGCGAGGGGACACCCACCACTCAGTCAGCCTGTAGGAGACTGTGGTTTGCCCTTGACCCTTCCCTGTGTACTCCAGCAAGGTTGAACTTCCACTACAGACAGACTCTTTTATTCACTATGACAAGTAGGTTTTGTCACTACCGTAAGAAGCTATGTTTTGTGCTGTAGAAAGCTTATGGTCTCCAGTCACATGTTTCAAATCTGATTCTACTGAATGACTTGAAAACCGAACTCACACAGTGGATGAAGTAGTCGTAGTATGGGATTTCCAGGTATCTGTAACGGAATTAAATGTTCTTGTTCATCTCGTTGGATTTAGTGTTTGGTCTGTGTTCATGCCCAGTGGATGGTGGTGAGCTTAGTAAAAAATATGAGCTCAATACTTTGAATAGTAAGTCTTTGAGACCTAGTATTGAGAGTGCGAGTTTCAGGAGGGAGAGGAAATAGAGCTGGAAACTGGGATCAGAACTTCTAACTTATGCCCCTGACTTTGGCCATAAGTGAGTCCCTTTGCTCTGTGTGTACTTTGCTAGTGTCCATCGTATGCCAAATACTGTCCACGTGAGAAGGTTGTCCTTTGGAAACATTATCTTAAGTCCATTTGTTACAGTTTTTCTTCTGTAAAATAAGTTATTACAGTATTCATCTAGGAAAGTTATATGAAGTCCTTTTAAAAATACTAGATGCAAAGGATTTTATCTTATTCTCTGGAGGAAATCAGTGTAGCATGCACCAGAAAGAAGAGAGGAAACCAAAGCACATAGGAGACTTCCCTAGTTTCCTCTGTATTTAGAGGAAACAGTATTGCTGTCAGTCATCACTTCCCTGTTTATTCTCTCCAAACACTGAACATGCCATAGGAAATGTAGTCTGACAGCATGGAGAACTGAAGTTATTTGTCATTTTAGTAGCAAGTCCTCTACCTAAACATGTTACCACAGGGCTGTGTCCCAGATTCCTAGTCTTGTTCTTTGCGGTTAGTCTCTCCTCAACTCCACGTTGCACAGCTGTAGGCTTTTTTGGCTGGATACTGCTATGCTCTATCTGAAGTTTTCTGTAAACACCGTGGCTGGCTTTGTGACAGGCTTGAACAGAGGTGCCCTTTTACTGTTCCTTCTCTTCAGGACGTCCAGTCAATTAGTCCAAGGCAAAACCATAGACTGCATTTTAATTTTTTCATCTTAAAACATAGCCAAATACTGACTTGCTGAACTAAGTTATTTCAGCTGAAAAGAGTGTTCTCAGGGCTAGGAATAACTTGGAAAGTCAGTGTTCTGGGACTTTGGAAGTTATAAATTTGTATGTAAACTGTAGGAACATTCCTATATGCTGTTTTGTCTGGTTTTTTTTTTTCCTGTCATTTCTATAGCTTGTGTTTTCTGAGCCTTAATCCTTGTGACTTGCGTTTATAACGAATTAGTTTCTTGGTCGATATACATAATGTTGAAGGTTGTCTAGTGCCAAATTCCTGTTGACACATACCTTGCTGTCCTTTAGTATTGTTTTTGGTGGTAGCCTAGTACCAGAAAACTTAAGTGTGTTCTGATATGCTGTATTTTCTACCCGCTTCCACAGAAGTGCAGCATCAGATCAGTCACCTGCTGTGGCACACTGTCGTGCTCCTTTGGTTAGAAAGAAGGTTGCAGAATCGCAGATTATACCATCCTCAACTATATGTAATATTGACCTCGCAATTGGTCGATTTCTTGTTTAACTTTGTAATGCTGTAGAATCTAAAATGATAAAGGAGAGAGAGGATCCAGCTCGTCTCTGATCCTGGCAAACAAGACTTGGTGATGTTTGATCACCTCTCTGGAGGTGAGTGTTTCAAACCCCACAGCTCAAAAGGGGGATGTAATTTTCTGCAAGCTTACAGTAAAGAACCTGACTTCAAACATTCAGTGCCCGTTCGTGGGAGCAAAACCAACCGTATTCAAGGGCTGTATACAGGAAAACCTGAATTGCCTTGAGTACGCCTGGGGCATGTACGTATCTGCAGAGAGGCTAGAAGCTCAAGCAGCGATACGGATATTCAGTGCCAGTGTGACACAAAGTCACAGTATGCCTTGGGGTAACATGCCTTTCAAAGGCTTTGGGAAAACCAGTATAGAGTCAGTGGGCCGGTAGCTTGCCAGGGTTAACCGGCAGCGTGCAGAGTCTTAGGTGAACTTAGTAACAATGGAAAGAAACTACGACATTTTACTTGGTAGGGTCTCTATAATTGCTCAAAATAATGTTGTTGTTGAACAGGCCTCACCTAATAGCTGTGATTTCAGCTGAATTCTGATCCCCTGTGAAAGGAGCAGATGGAGCTCTAAAAATAAGACTTTCTTTTCTCAAAAGAGCAAACTAAGCTTCTCTGGTTACAGTGTTTTTGTGGTAACAGTGAGCACGTGTCTGTGTACCTTTTGCTTCTTTTTCTAGTATTTCAAAAATGGGTTCTGAGGAAAAACTGAGGCATGCATCTTATCCTTTGCATCTAGTCTCATCCAATCTGTTAAGGCTGGATCACAGCTCTATTCCCAGGTCACTCTCTTAGATGATCTCTTTTGGTGTGTTTTCCTTCCGGCTGACTTGGCTCTGTAGCTCTCTGGCTCCTAGTGTTCTTCTACCTGAAGAGCATCACTGAGATGCTTCCCTGCGCTTCCTGTTACTTTTATCTTTTGGAAGATCTAAAATTAACCATGTATATGTTTTCCAGATCTGGGTTTCCTGCGCAGTGTGTTGTCCTCATTTGTATGCCATGAAACATGCAGAAAAATGAAAGCAGTTAATCTGCAAAGATTTATTGTTTCCAGATAAGAAACTTTGCCCCCGTTGCCCCTCCCAAAGGAAGAGGGTCCAATGTCTCAGCAATTTGGTTTTATTCAGAGCCAGTATCTGAGGCTTCCCAAAATACACTGTTTGAAAATTTAGGACTCAGAGCCCAGGAAGCAAGTAGTTGTCTTTAGCCAGATGTCCCCATCAACAAAATAAATGTGTGCTTTGGTTATGTAAAGGTTCATAGGTCAGATGTGCTAATATGAATTAAAACATTAGTATCAACAGGTAACATGCTTTAGCCCTCTCTTCATATAGAGTAAGAATATTCCAGGGTTGCCTTTCTAAGGTCCTCAAGTAAGTGTCAGGTTTGAAGAACTGCATCTTAAACACTGGTGATACTTCCTGCCTTTCCTGTCTACTTGATTGGTCAGGGACATGCAGTCTTGAAAATCCACGAAGGAGCTTGTTCCTGCAACAGTGGTGAAGGTCTTCCATGTACACTTGAAGCACGGGAAACTTGAAACATCCTGGATTTTGTACTTTGGGTTTAATTCCACCTGTACCCTTTCAGTATAGTCCCTCCCTAAAATAAGAACAGTATAATGTGAATATTTTGGAGCCAGAGGAAGGAGAAGTTCTCAGCCACTGTTTTGAGGCTGTGGAAAAGGAACACTGGTTGTTTTCCCTTTTTAAACAAGTGGGCATACTTTACACTCTTCACCAAATAGAATCTTTCTTACCTTTCTGGGTATGTTTAGTACCTTTCTCTAGACCTGAATGTCTTTTTGTAGATAACCACATAGTTTCAGATTAACAGTGGTTAACAGTGCCAGTGAAGAAGTGGTGTCGTGGTTGATGTGAGAATTCTGCAGTTACGCAGCCAGACGTATTGAAAGAGATGTGCAATACCTAAGTTCAAAGTTAGTCCTACCACTTATTTCAGTGGTGGTGTTTCCTTGTCAGGGTGAGTCAACACCAACAGCATTATGTCTGTCTACCCTGAGTTGCTGCAATATAACGTGGACTCCTTTTCTAAAAAATATTTACATCATCTTTTTCTGACTGTGGTGTTCTTCGTTAAGTAACTGAGGATTTTATGATGTATTTTAAATATAATTTAGTGTAAATTAGGAACTGAATGACAAGCCAGTCTCCTAAACTTCTGATTCCTCCTTAAACTTGAGCTTAGTTGCATCTAACTCTTAACATACTGACCTTGGTTCTCCAGAAGACAGATTGACAGAGTTATGTTAATGCAACTGTGTTTTTTGTTTAATCCTTAATCCTACTCTAATCTTTCAGTCCTCCCTAAAACTGTGCAAGAACGCTGTACATAGTATGAGATAAAATATATGGCCTTTCCTTTTTTAAGTTTTACTATGCGTGTAGCAGATATGTTTGGTTTGTGTAAAAGTGTGTATTATTTACAATTTTTAAACTTTATTCCCATTTTCCTTTAGCGTGAAGCTTTTCATGATAAAACAGTTTATTTCTCTCTGCACACTTTGGCTTCTTTCCTTTTGTTTTCCTGTGTCTGTTAATCTCTCTTTTCCTCCTCCATCTTTCCTGTCCTTGTCTCTATCATTTGTATGCTTTGCTTTTTACCTGCATATGTTCTCTTCCTCAGTCTTTTCATCCGAACATACGTAGGGACTGGCAGGGATTTCCTGAACCTGTCTCTCTCCCGCTCTTGCGGGTGACTCTGTCACGTAATCCCTTAGATAAACTTCCTTTGCTCTCTTAGGTCTGTATCACTATTTTCTTTTGGTGCATCTTTGCCTGTAAGGGAGCGCGATTATAAACCTTATGTTTCCAGGTTCCTAACGACGACTGGACTGCATGTTCACTTACGCATATTTTCTTTGCAGTGAGACCAAACTTTGAGGAAGGTGGGACAGCAACAACAGGCAGGAAGCATGAGTTTATACGCTCTGAGAGCGAGAACTGGCGCATCTTCAGGGAGGAACAAAATGGGGAAGATGATGATGGAGGCTGGCGACTGGCTGGGTCACGGAGGGATAGTGAGAGGTGGCGCCCTCACAGTCCAGGTGAGAGGAGATCTGGAGAAAAATGCACCAACAGTTACAGGGAAAGGGTAGGGGGTGATCAAGGCCTGGGAAAAGCAGAGGAAAGGGAGGTGGCATAAGACTTGGGACAAAACCAGGTATTATTTATGTGATTTTGGTCACTAAATACTGCTTTACCATACATAGAGCTCTTGGTCACAAAACTGTTACAGTGGGCACAGAATTATGTGCGTTTTATTGTTTTCTTTTTCTTTTAATGTCCTCAAGGCCCTAAACTTATTTAAGGGAACAATATTCTTCAGGCATGTGCTTGTCTGTGTTGTGTTCCAGGTGAGTATGTGCCTGGTAAAATTGACATTTTTTTTTAAGTTTTTTTTTTTTTTAGCAGCATTGTTCTTCTGTGACTGTAGAGTTGAGAGGAGAGCAGTTACTCCCCCACATTAGATAGCATATCTAAGGCTATGGGGGTGATACTGACACTAAACCATTCAGGTTGTTGACCTGTCTAGTTTTGAGATGGTATTGGGAAGGCCAAGGTGCCCTCTTTGGAAAAATCTCAATACATAGCCTGTAACTGAGATGTACAGGGTAATCTTGTCTCTTGCTAAATTTCAAGCGTCTGTTTTGGTCGCTCTTCTCTTT